AGTAGTTACTAGGAACAAGAAGCTATTAGGGGCTCCTGGCATCGCTAGTAGGAGCAAGGACGCTGCTAGAACCCAAAGGACCCACTGCAGTTTCTCGAATCTGCCTTGCTCGTGGTGCACAGCGAATGGGCTGCAGCTCCTGGCGCCACCACAAGGGTGCGCCAGAATAGAAATACATTGCCATGTAACAAGAGAGGTTAAGGGGCGTTTTCTTTGACGTCTTCTGCAAGTGTGGTTTTCTCCTCAATGTCAAAGCTTGCTCGTTCAAGGATCTCTTGACGAACTCGTCTCAGAGCCAAGTTCCTGAAGATGGGAGCGAACAAGTGTAACGTCAAAAGCGGAGTTCGTTTTTGAATATCTTGTTCATTGTTTCTGGTTACTGTTTGAACTTAATCGGCCCAAAATAGCGAGCTCCCCGCATCAAAAACTCTGGGATGGGGATCTGGCCTTCCGGAAAGACGCATCATCTGCACGTGGAAATACTACCCGCACTGACCCCAAACTAGTTTGCACGTCAAAAAATAATGTTGTTTCCAACCACATAGGAAAGACAAGGAGGAATCAAGCCTGGAGCAGAGGGAGAAGAAGCTGGTCACAGTTACGAAGGCTTTCACATTCTGCAGAGCTTAAGAGCGTGTGTTGAAGAGCACTATATTAGACCTTTCTTCCTTTTCTTGTTTCTGTGTATATAATAGTGATGGCCTCCAACCCAAGAGCGACGGCCTCCAACCTAAGAGTGACGGCCTCCAACCTACTAGCGATCCCGCACCACTGGGCAATACATCAAAGTTAGTCTGGAGTGTCAAGAGGCACTTGTCGTGTCGGACAATACCAGGAGGACCTTGTTTAGATCGTGAAGCCATCTTGTATCGAGGCACCTCGCCCTGATGGCTTCTTCGCTCTTAGGTTGGAGGCCATCGCTCTTAGAAACAAAGAAAAGAAAAGGAAGAAAGGTCTAGTAGCGTCCTTTGCTCCTAGTAGCGATGCCCTGTGTTCCTAGTAGCTTCTTGTTACTACTAGTAAGGCACTTGTTACTAGAAGCGATGCCCTGTGTTCCTACAGATCCGCCCGGAAGTCTGGACCGGACACTGAGCCTGACGCTTGGACACGCTGAGGAGACAGGGTCCAACAGCGGCTGGACGGGTGGTTCCGAAAGGAAAAGACCAAAAAGTCCGGAGAGAAGCCAAAAGTTTGTGCGTTGGAGCAAGGTTCAAGCTGACAAAGACAGGCATTGCTACATCGATGGTCAAACGAAAAATTCGACCAAGAAGGGGACGACAGCGAAGCAGACATTTTTAGGGCTGGTTGAAGAGCTAAGTACAGCATGTGCAAATAGAAAGCGAGTTGTGAACTAGCTGTGAGCATTACTTGGGAATGTAAGGCATCTGCAACAATACCTGACATGCAACGCCTTTGTTGCCTAAGACGTTAACCGGGGCCCTGCGCGAAACCACCATGTTATAAGGCTTTACAAACGTTTCGCATGCTAGGGCACGTACGCTGGGCCTCCGGATGAGCGTCACAAGCACAAACTCCGTGTTCGTGGGGTTAGTTTTTTGGGGGTTGGGCTACGGCACAATGTACACACCTTCACGCAGCCGTTTCACATGCGCAACCCGTATACACATGCAGCGCACTACCGAACTTCTGTTCTCTTGTGGCGTTTGAGCCGCTTCTTTTCCGGCAATCAATCCTTTGGTTTTGGATTCCACCTTGGACCTTTTTACTCCACTGTTACCATCCTGGACAGCCCGTTGGACCGGGAAGGACTAAGTAGTTGCTGTGGTTTCTTGTGGTCAGGGTTTCACATGTGACGTCACTCCGCAAACGTTCATCCGACCTCTATGCCCAAGGCTTTGCGTGCCCGTGAGAAAGAAGCAGATGCCGGAGTGGTGTCGAGGCTGTGGAGCGCTTACAGCTTTCGGTTTCGATGAAACGCGCAGGGAGATCTCAAGGAGGTCGCCCGGTTGCTCCGAAGAAAGAAACGTCTCCTTTTTGCCGAGCCCCTTGTCCACATGCACTTCTTCTCCCCAGTGACCCTGGCAACCCGGGTGCGTTTTTTTACTGGGCATGCTCATACAAAACCAACGTGACCTCTTAAAGATCCATCACAAAAAACATCAAAAGCCTAGCATTTTTAACAAGTTCAATTTGATTTCTTGCAATGAAATGCTTGTTTCGTGCGGGGCCGGGTTGACGTCGATGCCTTGTTTGTGGGGCTGACGCAGTCGCACGCAAACAAATGAATTCCCTCGCAACCAACTGTGCTGTTCCTCGGAATGCCGTTCTCAAGTGAACTGGGAGAACGTCAACCGTTCTCTCTGGGACAGCAATGTTTGACTAATTGTTCCTAGTAGTACGGCCAGGAGCCCCTAGTAGCTCCTGGCCTTACTTCTAGGAACAAGAAGCTACTAGTAGCAAGAAGCTCCGAGTGCTTTTCTGTACTTCCGCTCACCGCTCAGGTCGGTAATCAGAGGGGAGGGCCACGGGGACTGCTTCTTCGGTTCGGTTAGGTCATCCAACCCCAGTTTCAATTCTTGCTAGGAGTTAATCCAGCTAGATTCACTAGCTTTGGTGTCTACTTTCTTGCAAAGAACGCAACGTGGAAAGTTGGTGTGAAATCGGGAGCTAAACAATTCGTTCAATAGCCTCTTATGACCTAAGGTAAAGCGCTTAGGTGCATCTCTTGCAGTTCCGACTGTATCCTTCAGTCTGAGGTGCTTGAGCTTCGTGGAGCAAGCTTGCGTTAAACAACCAGAAAACAAGTAGGGTTAAACATAAAAATCATGTTTGATGCAAAGGAGGTATATTGTGATATAGTCAAGCCTAGTAATATACTGAATTCCAAAAGGGAGAGAGAGAGAGAGTGCAGTTGCAGCGTAGTGGACGAACATGGCACATGCTAAAACGAACAAATCGACCAGTTCGGAGCGCACTGTTGACCAGTTCTTGTGCCACCAAAGCGAGACTGCCTCAGACACTGAGAGGAAAGTCTGCGAAAGACAGAAGCTGATTGGTGAGACTCAGGCTGAAGGGCGAGTCCAAAACGACAGCACTAATGCTCCAATCCTCGATGTCTTCACGAAACATTCAAACATGTGAAAAATCCAAAGATGTGAAATGAGATGAAATGACTAGGAGCCATGATCGCTTCTCCTGGCATCGCTACTAGGAGCAAGGACGCTACTAGGGGCTCCTG